CCAGTGCCCTAAGCCACTTTGCCACCTGCCGGCCTTTGAATATAACTTTTTAAAATTGAGATATGTCATATACTATAAAATGCACCACATTAATGGGTATGATACAGTATAGTATAATATTTCTAGTATGTTCACAAAGTTGTACAACCATTAAAATATCTAATTCCAAAAAACATCTAATTTTGGAACATCTCTATCATCCCAAAAAGAAACCCTGAATCCATTAACAATCATTCTTAATACCATAATCCCCTATTACTTGAAAACTAGTAATCTACTTTGTCTTTATTCACTCATTTTGTAACATTTTATAACAACAGAATCACAAAATATGTAGATTTTATAACTTCTTTCACTCAGTATGTTTTTAAGAATTATCCGTTTTAAAGCATTTTTTAAAAATATTTTTTAAAGAATTATTTTATTTAACTTTATTATTATTGTTACTTTCCAGTTTGGTCAGACAGACAGAGACAGAGAGGGAAAGTGAGAAAGCAAGCCACCAGATTCAGGACTTGAACCGTGGTCGGCCATGTGGGAGTCCAGTGCCTTTCACCACCACACCACCTGCTGGCCCTGTTTTGGACTTTTTTACAGATACAATATTTAATATTTTTGTAGTCCAGCCAACATATACCTTTTCTTTGTGACCTTCTCAATTATCTTATTTAGAAATTATCTATTTCATAAATAATTATTTATAGTATATAAAACTACACTATAAAACAGCTCCGACAAGGAGAATGGAGGAGAAGGGATTGCGGTGTGACCATCCTCCCTGGGGGGTGATTTCTCGCTTTCTGTCTCTATGTCTCTGTCTGTCTGGCGAGCGCATGCGCCCTATAGTGAAAACCTCTCCAAAAAAAAAAAAAGCATTTTATAGTACTTTATTAATTTTATGGCTGAATGCTATTCAATTATATGACTATGCCATATTTAGTTTATTCACTGATGGACAGTTGGGAGGTTTATACTTTGTGACTATTTTTTTTTTCCAATTTATTTATTTGCATTCATTCACTGTACATCATTACAACATACAAAATGAGATTTTCCATCTCGAGTACACTGTATATTGTCTCAATAAAGCACATCAACAAACATGTTATTCTTAGCAAATGATCTTCCATTTCTTGTTTTCTGTATGTTTTGCTTTTTCCCCCCCATCCTTGGTTCCCTATCTCTTACCCTCTGCCACCTCCTGTTCTCCTCCCACACTGTCTCTGGTATCTATGTTTGCTTTCTATACCATTTTCCCCCCACATTTTATTGAATCACCAAAGACCCTAATCAATCCAAATACCCTCCTAGCAAACACATGTGACACAGACATCTCCATGAGCACAAGTCTAACTTTACGCATCCTATAAAGTAGCACCTAACTGGGGCTACATATCCTACTGCAGTCATTGAATAGATATATTTTTTTCCTGAAACTTTTTTTTGTAAGCATCCCTAAGCATCATCACAGCACACAAAATGCGATCTCCCATCCAGTACACACTGCATAGTGACTCAATCATGCACATTACAAATAAAATAAATTTCCAATTCTAGTTCCTAGAATTATTTCCACCCCTCTTTCTGACCCTCTGTCCCTTCCCACCCTCCTCTCA